GCTGATGGCAGAGCAGGAAATGAGGTCAGCTTTGACATATTCATAGCCAGGAGGAACATAGGCCCCAGTCCCCAGATAGAGGACCTAAATCCTGTCCCCCTCTCTCAGTAAGCCTGGAAGTGGGTAATGCCTAGTGAACCTTGAGCCCCCTGAATCCTCAGGTGACATCTGACTGCAGAGCTGAGAACAACTACACATTTGTTGCTGCATGCATCAGCATTTTGGGGGTGGGGATGGATGACAGAGTCTTACCATGTAGTCCTGGGGAGCCTGGAACTTGCTATGTGGATCAGACTGGTATTGAGCTCACAGACAGCTTCTTGCCTTGCCTTCTGAGTGCTGAGGTTTAAGGTGTGCACCAGCATGCCTAGCCATCAGTGTTATCTTTTTGCTGAGTTGTATTCCCTTGAGTATAATTTAACTTCCCACCTGTTGATGGTCATTTGAGTACCCAGTTTAGGCTATTATAAGTAAAAATGCTTTGAACATTCAAGTACAAGTCTTTGAGTGGACATATGTTTTCATTTCTTTTGAATAAATATGTAGGTATAGGATTGTTGGATTTTAGGGGAGCAAATGCTTAGTTTATAAAAGACTGCCAATCTGCTCTCCAAAGTGGCTGTACCATTTAGAGATGTGTGAGATTTCATGTTGCCTCACCTCCTCACCAACACTTAACATTCCAAATCTCTAATTTGGACCAATCTACAGCTAGGAAGAGGTATCTCATTGCAGATATAATGTGAAACTTTTTTCAATGACTAAGGTGCTGAGTGCCTTTTTAGATGTTTTCTTTTAATTTCTTACTAATTAAAATATGAGGTTATTTGCCTTCCATTTGTTGAACTAAGTAGTTACATTTGTTTTAGAAAGACGTTTTATAAATATATTCACCCAATCTGGGGTTTCTCTATTTATTTTTCACTTAAACCAAACTTTTGAAGGCCCAGAGGTTTTTTTTTTTGTTTTTTGTTTTTTGTTTTTTGTTTTTTGTTTTTCGAGACAGGGTTTCTCTGTGTAGCTTTGCGCCTTTCCTGGAACTCGCTTTGTAGACCAGGCTGGCCTCAAACTCACAGAGATCCGCCTGCCTCTGCCTCCCGAGTGCTGGGATTAAAGGCGTGTGCCACCACCGCCCAGCCTAGAGTTTTTAATCTTTATTAAATAATCCACATTATCTATTTTCCTTCATTGCTGCTCTCTTGCCTTGACATGGCCTAGAAACTTTCCTCGGTAGAAGTTGGCGTCATCTGAGGGCTCTGTGATGGTTTGAACAAGAATGCCCCCGTAGGCTCCTATATTTGAATGCTTGGTCCCCATCTTGTGGAATTGTTTGGGTAGGACTAAGAGATGTGGCCTTTTTGAGGAGTGTCACTGAGGACCGGATTTGGGGTTTCAAAAACCCAGGTTATTCTCAGTGCTGTTTTCTCAACCTCATGGTTGTGGATTAGATATAAACTTCAAACTACTTCTCTAGCCCCAAGTCTGCCTCGCTGCTGCCATGCTCCCCACCATGACGGTCATGAACTTTAGCCCTTTGGAACTGTGAGCCACAAATTAAAAGATTTCTTCTATAAAGTTCCTTCTTCATGGCGTTTTGTCATGGTGACATAAAAATAAGGTGGGCTCCCTTATGCACAGTCCATCTCCAAGGTTCTTGGTTCTCTGTTGCCCAATAACTTGAGAATTGCTATTGTATTATATATTTTGTTCAGTTTTTAAAAGTTGTTATAGCTATGAGGAAAGAAACAGAAATTTCCATTTTTTTTTTTTTTTGGTTTTGTTTTTTTGAGACAGGGTTTCTCTGAGTAGCTTTGCAGCCTGTCCTGGAACCTGCTCTGCAGACCAGGTTAGCCTCAGGGATCAGGACCACAGAGATCTGACTGCTCTGCCTCCTGAATGCTGGGATTAAGACATGTGCCACCACCACTCGGCCCCTTTATTTTTTCATGTATGTATTTATTTGTGTGTTTTGCAGCACAGGGGGTTGAAGCCAGGACTCCACACATGTCACATGACTGCTGTACCACTGAGTTACACTGCCAATTCATCTCCATTTAAAAAAAATGTTTTAGGGCCTATAGAGATGGCTCAGCACTCAAGAGCATTTGCTGCTCTTACAGACAACCTGGATTCAGTTACCAGTGCCCACATGGTGGCTTACAAACATCTGTAATTCCAGTTCTAGGGAATCTAACACCATCTTCTGAACCCCAAAGGCACCAGGCATGCATGTAGTACACATACATAGACACAGTCAAAACACCCATACACACAAAATAAAATTAATGAATATAAAAATAAAAATTTTAATTTTTCTTGAATATTTGTTTTAAAAAGTGTGTGTGTGTGTGTGTGTGTGTGTGTGTGTGTGTGTGTGTACATCTGTGAGTACAGGTGGCTTCAGAGTCCAAAAGAAGGCCTCTGGAGCTGGAATTACAGAGGTTTTTGAGTGACTGACCTGGCTGTTGGGAACCTAACTGTGATCCTCTAGTAGAGCAGCAAGCGCCCTTAACCTCTGAGCCATCTCTATGGCCCCTAATTTATTATCTATTTATTTACCTTTTATTTTTATTCATATATATGTGACGTCTGTGTATATGTATGCCATGTATGTGCAGATGCCCTCAGGGACCAGAAGAGTGCATCCAGTTGCCTGGTGCTAAAGTTACAGGCAGTTGTAAACTGTCCAGTGTGGGTACTGAGGACAAAACTGAGGTCTTCTGAAAAAGCACTTGTAACCTCTGAGCCATCTCTCTAACACACACACACACACACACACACACACACACACACACACACACATAGAGAGTTTTTAAATGTGTGCTTTTTGAGACAGGGTCTCGTGTAGCCCAGGCTGTCCTTAAACTCACTATGTAACTAAGGGTGATTCAGAACTTCTGATCCTTCTATCTCCCAGCTGCTGGGATTAAAGATATTGTGCCCCCACACCTGGTCTATGCTGGAAATCAAATACGGGGTCTTGTGAGTGCTAGGCAAACAGTCTATTAGCTGAGCCAGAGATTCTACCTAACCAGTATTTCTTAAATGAAAACAATTTTATTGCCAATAATTTACATACCATAACATTGCCTTTGTTTTCAACAGCCAGCTTCCCCAGGCATAGATAATTAGGTCACTGGTTCTCCTGTCAGTCTGTCTTTTTTTTTCTTCAGTGTTTTCAGGATTTCTCTCCCTTGGTTTGTGGCTAGGTTTCTCGTTGGTACACTGTGTAATGTGGTACACTTGGTGAAATGTGGTGATATATTGTGTACCCTAATAAAATTTGCTTGAAGATCAGAGAACAGAACAAGCCACTAGATTAAACATAGAAGCCAGGCAGTGATGGCACACACCTTTAATCCTAGCACTCGGGAGGCAGAGATCGGTCTGGATCTCTGTGAGTTCAAAGCCACTCTAGACTACATGAGATTGACTCAGTCTAGGAGAGAAACAGAGCCAGGCAATGGTGGCACACACCTTTAATCCCAGCACTTGAAATCTCATGCCTTTGCTTGGGAAGCACACACGCCATTAATCCCAGCACTAGAAAGGAAGTGATGGATGGGCAGAGAAAGGTATATAAGGCGTAAGGAGACAAGAATTAAAGGCCTTCCGACTGGAGAGCTTTTCAGGTTGAGGAGTCCAAGATGTGGCAGTGGCTTGATCCTTTGTCTCTCTGATCTTTCAGCATTTACCCCAATATCTGGCTCTGGGATTTTTATTAAAAGACTGTTTAGAAATTTGAGCAACAGTCAAACATTTCCTGGCTTTTTTTTTTTTTTTTTTGAGCCCAACAAGGTTATCAGGGTTTTGTCCCTGTAATAAACACTTGAGGCAGGTGGTGGTGGTGCACACCTTTAATCTCAGCACTTGAGAGGCAGAGCCAGACGGATCTCTGTGAGTTCAAGGTCAGCCTGGTCTACAGAGTGAGATCCAGGACAGGCACCAAAACTACACAGAGAAACTCTGTCTTGAAAAACCAAAAAAAAAAAAAAAAAAAAAAAAAAAACCAACAGCACCTCAACCCATGGGGTTAGGGATTTAGCTCAAGGCCCTGGGTTCGATCTTCAGCTCAAAAAAAAAAAAAAAAAAACAACTCGAGGCAACTTAAATGAGAAGACTTACTTATGTATTCATTTATTTTACTCTAATGGGGATTGAATTTAGGACCATGTGCATGGAAGGCAAGCTTTCTCTGGCTGGGCTGCATCACCAGCCCTTTTAATTTTGACGCCAGATCTTGTTGAGTGGCCAAAACTATCCCTAAATTTTTATCTAGCCCAGTAAACCTTGAACTTGCTATCCTCCTGCTTCAGCCTCCTGATATTAGAAGCCTGCATCACCAAACCCAGCTGGAAATTTTTATTGATTCAACATTTCAAAAGTTTCAGTGCATAGTCAGCTGGTTCCTTTGTTTCTTGGCTGTGGTGAGACAGAGCATCATGACAAGGGTGTAGCAGAACAAAGTTGCTTACCACATGGTTGCCAGAAAGCAGAAAGGGTGACAGGAAGGGTCGAGGCATTTATATCTTCCAGGGTACCTCTTCCAATGACTTGCTTCCTTCAACCAACTGCCACCTGCTCGTTTTCTACCACCTCCCAATGCCATCAAATTGGAGGGATTAATTCATTGATTAAGTTGGAAGCCTCATGATCCAAGCACCTCTCAATGATTGGATCCATCAGCTGAGGACCAAGCCTTTGACGGGTGAGCCTTTGTGGTTGGGGGAGCACACTTCATACTCAAACTATAGCAGTGGATATGGTTGTCTTGCAACCCTGCTCATCCATTTATCAAGGGCAATGCAGGAAACGGCGGCTCCGATCACACACTCTCACAGCTAGAGGGTGCCTACCCTCTAGCTGTCACACCGAGGAATCAGATGTCACCACCTAGAGGGCAGGACCTAGGAGAGTCGGAATTCAGATCCAAAGCAGCCACGCATGCGGTGCCAGTCTTTTTAAAAGAGACGCAGGAGATTCCAACTTTCGTGTAAACGTTCCTTTATTTTTAAGGTAGGAGCTGACCCAAGCTGCAACTGGCTTTAGCCAAGTCATCCAGTACTTGCCCCAGTCTCCAGGAGAATTAATTGTCTGGGCAACCGTCAGTTGCGACTCAGCCCTCAGGACGGCCAGCACAGCTGCACTACGCCTGCGCCGGCTCTCCTGGAGCAAGCACCGCCCTGTCTGCCAACACAACGCAGCCTTCCGTTGCCATGGAGCTGCGGACCCAAACTACGCAGCCTCAGATCCACGGTGGGCGAGAGGCAGCCGGCCGTTAAGGGGACGTCGTTAAGGGGGACATTTCTGAGGGCCTGGTGCCAAGAAACTGTTTCTCCGGGGCCACTGCTGAGGAAGTTGGCGAGGAGCTGTTTCCGGGTGGGGGGACCCTTCTGCGGGACCACTGCCTAGGGGCCATTTGGGAGGGGCTGTTGCTAAGGGGCCGTCTTCGGGGACCATTTTTAGGGGCTGTTGCTGAGGAGCCACTACGGAGGAGCGGTTCCTGAGGGGTCTGGGCAACAGTCCATTCCTGGGGGACCTTTGCTGAAGTCTCATCGCTGAGGGACGTTCCTGGACTGGCCAGAGAGGTGGGTACTGATGATGCGTTCTGCCCTGAGGATGTGCTGGACGTGGTGGCTGGCTTCTCTGTGTGGCCGCATGGTTGGGAGCCACGTGGTTACCAGTCTATGAAGAGGCAGAGTCAAACCTTGCAGGAGAGGACCAGGCACAAGTCTTTGAGAGATGCGAGTAAGATTCACATCCAAGCCGGGCGATGGTGGCGCACGCCTTTAATCACAACACTCGGGAGACAGAGACAGGAGGATATCTGTAAGTTCGAGGCCAGCCTGGTCTACAAAGAGATTTCCAGAACAGCCAGGGCTACACAAAGAAACCTTGTCTCGAAAAAACCAAAATAAATAAATAAATAAATAAATAAATAAATAAATAAATAAATAAATAAATAAATAAATTCACATCCATAAAGAACCCTTCGTTGGAAGTGGATAGGCCTCCTTAGCTTGGTTTCCCATAAAATAATTTCTTTATGCGAGTAAAGATGTTTAGCAAAATACTCCCTGAATATCTACTGTAGGCCAGGTACTGGTACTGAACTAGGTAATGAGTTGGACTGCTCAGGTACTCACTCGTGGATATTCTCTTCAGACAAATGATGCCTAATTTCTTGTGTGCAATGTGAGAACTGACTGTCAAGCAAATATCAAAAGCCCGGCCAAGCCAATTAATAGAATCCCACCTTCACCCACAGCACAGTGCCTCTCCTGGTTAACAATGCACAGACCTGCGATCCTCATTTCATCTTTGCTTATATTTAGATTAGAAATTTACTCTTGAACAGTAGTTTCTGTTGATTGGTTGGTTGGCTTTTCAAGGCAGGGTTTCTCTGTATAGCCCTGGCCGTCCTGGAACTCGCTCTGTAGGCCTTGAACTCAGAGATCCACCTGCCTCTGCCTCTCAAGTGCAGGAATCAAAGGCATGGGCCACACCACCACTAGCCTGGAGCCCTGTCTTTAAAACAAACATGAACTTCTGGCTTCAAGACTGACAGAATACATTTCTGTGATGTAAAGCATACAGATCGGGGTGTTTTGCTATGGCAACCCTGGAAAACTAATGTGAGAAGTGAGAGTTTCTGCAGTCTTCTCTAAGGAGAGGGTGTCCCTCTCAGAAGAAAGCCTAGTGCTTCAGAGACATCCGATGTCCCAGTCCTCGGAACCAGTAAAAACATGATGTCCTATGAATCAGAGGAACTGAGGTAGTTCATCAAGCTGCCTTTGAGATGAAAGAGTCATCTTGGGTCATCTCAGTGAGCCCAATGAATGCAGCTACACTAAAAGGTCGGGTAAGTGGAAGAGGGAGGCAGGAGAGAGAACATCAAGGGCTCTAGCATGGGTGACTCTGCTGACCTGCGGCTTTGAACATGTTAGATGAGGACTGGGTGCCAATGAGGGAAGGTGGCTGAAGGTGGACAGTGAAAAGGCAGGAAAATAGACGCACTCTCCAGCTTCCTAGAAGGAATTCGGCCTTGCTGCTCCAGAACAACCTCGTTCTGATTTATAAGGACTGGCCTCAAAGTGCTGTGAGGCAGAAAGAAGAGAAAGGCAGCCTAGGGTTACACCAAGTGCAGTTTACTATCGGGGTTGGGGGGGGGGGAGCTTACAAGTGTGGGCCTGAATGGCAGCAGGCAAGATGGAAACTTGCAACCTGGGGCAAAAATTTTGGGGCAAAAAGAGTGTGTCTGTGGACTAGAACAAAAGCAAATCCATTCTTTCTGAAATATGCCTGTTTATCTTAAGATAATATCAAAACTCGATATGACAACAAACTATAATAATTCCAGCTTTCAGGAGGCTGAGACAGGAGAATTGTCAATTCAAGGCTGTAATGAGATGCTGCCACAGAAAAAGGAGACAGTAAATTGGAGAGTCAGGGAGATCTCTGAAGCCAGAATCTGCTGTAAAGTCCCACATAATACTCTAATGATTTTATCTATTTATGATTTGCTGAGAAAAAAACATCTAGGGCTAATTGGAGGACATCATGATAATTTTGACTTAAGATGACAGTGGTTGGGCTGGAGAGATGGCTCAGAGGTTAACAGCAGTGGCTGCTCTTCCAGAGGTCCTGACTTCAATTCCCAGCAACCACGTGGTGGCTTTAAAAGCCATCTATAATGAGATCTGGTGCCCTCTTCTGGCGAGCAGGCATACATGCAGGCAGAATATTGTATACATAATAAATAAATTTTTAAAAAAAGATGGCAGTGCTTGTATCAAGCTGACTCCACACACACCTGTTGACACCGTGGCCTTAGATCACTGAGCCTCAGATGCCTGGCCTCTAGAGCATGGGTCTCAACCCTTCAATACAATTCTTCATGTTGTGGTGACCCCCTGTGATGATTTGAAAAAAAACGGCCCCCTAAGTGAGTGGCACTAATGGGAGGTGTGGGCTTGTTGGAGGAAGTGTGGCCTTGTTGGAGGACACTGTCTTATTAATAAGAAACACAGAACCAATGCAAAGAAGAAAGCCAAGAGATCAGAGCTAAGAGCCTTACCCTGCAGTTAACCTCTTCAGCCAAGAGACCTCTCCGAAAGAGACCTACTTCCTGTGTGTTTGTCTTTAGATAATCTTTCTGTTCTGCCTTCTCATTGGTTGTAAACCCAAACACATGACTGCCTTGTCACTGCCTGTATGTACAGCCCTCCAGGTCTTCTATGGTATTGAGATTAAAGGCGTGTGTCTCCAATGTTGGCTGTATCCTTGAACACACAGAGGTCTGCCTAGCTCTGCCTACCAAGTGCTGGGATTAAAGATGTGCACCACCAATGCCCAGCTTTTGCTATGGCTCTAATAGCTCTGACCCCCGGACAACTTTATTTATTAACATACAATTAAAATCACATTTCAGTACAAATAAAATACCACCATAGAGGAAGTGTATCACTGTGGAAGCAGGCTTTGAGGTCTCATATATGCTCAAGCCACGCTCAGTGAGACAGTTCACTTCCTGTGCCTGCAAGATGTAGCGTACTCAGCTCCAGCACCATGTCTGCCTGCATGCCTCCTTGTTCCACCATGATGATGATAATGGACTGACTGAACCTCCGAACTGTAAGCAAGCCACCACAATTAAATGTTTCCTTTATAAGAGTTACTGTGGTCAAGGTGTCTTTTCACAGCAATAGAAACCCTAAGACACCCCCAACCATAAAATTATTTCATTGCTAATTCATAACTATAACTTTGCTACTGTTAATAAATTTTAATGTAGATATCTGATATGCAACCCCTAAGGGGGTCGAGGCCCACAGGTTGAGAACTGCTGCTCTAGAATAATGAGATGAAGTTGTGCTGTTTTTAGCTAACAAGTATATATAGTAATTTATTTTTAAAAAATGGGGAAAGCGCCGGGCGGTGGTGGCGCACGCCTTTAATCCCAGCACTTGGGAGGCAGAGGCAGGCGGATCTCTGTGAGTTCGAGGCCAGCCTGGGCTACCAAGTGAGTTCCAGGAAAGGCGCAAAGCTACACAGAGAAACCCTGTCTCGAAAAACCAAAAAAAAAAAAAAAATGGGGAAAGCAAAGAGTTTGTTCTTTTTTTCCCCTGTATGATGCCTAGCTCCTAATGTCTAATGCCAAAGCTCCACCTACCATTTCACTGTTGACATATCAGTCTTTTCACTGTTTCATGTCCTTCCCAGCACCTGCTAGATCTTTATGCTCCCAAGTCTGATGACTACGTAATGATAGCTCACTGTAACTTTGCAGTTCCCTTATTACAGATGATGTTGAACTACTTTTCTTAAGTTATGATCATGAGGTAGTTTATCATCCAAAAGAGGACTCTATTGATAACACTAGAAGAACAGATGTACAGCCGGGTACGCTGATGAACTGGATATATGGCTGCAGCATGTATTGGCTGAATGTCTCTATTATAAAGCTCCTGATAATAAAGTTTTTGCCTGTGTTTCTTCTGGGGAGTGTATTTTGCATAAACTCAGTAGGTCCTTTTCATGGTCTTGATGGTAAACCTTTTAAGTTGTGGATTGTTATATCTTCTACCCCATAGCTTTTCTCTGAGTCTCCTTAGGATGTCATCTGATCAGAAGTGTTAAATTCAAATACAGGTGACTCTATCAGCATTTTCTCTCATGGCTAATGTCTTTGGTGCCTTATTTAGAAACCTTGAGGTCATGACTCCCTCTTGGCCACTGCCACTGCAGTGGTTTCACTTTTCACATAGGAGCTTTTAATCCACATGGAGATGATTTTCCAGGAAAGGGTCCAGCTTCTCAGCATGCCCACTGAGAAACACCCAGTCCTGCTTGCTGGTGAGCAATCAGGTTTTGTACTAAGTGGTATCAACCTTTAGCAACCAATTTCTAGACTCCTTATCCTATTCTACAGGTCTGTTTCTGTTTGCCATGGCACTGTTCTAGTTTTATAACTTTATAATAAGTCTTAATATTGGTAGGACACACCTCCCTTACGCTCCTTCAACACTATTGTCCTTTGTTCTTTTACTTATATTTTAAAGTGCACTGGGCAAGTTTCTGATTTGTTTTTCTCAGGTGTATGCACATATGTACCTACACATGTGCACAGCCCTCCTGAGACTTGGATGCAGTTTAGTGACTCTAAAATTGACTTACCGACTATAGGAAGTCTCCAGTGGCTAAACCTGAGTCTGTTTATATTCTATTCTTTTTGCAATTTTTTTCTTATAGAAAAATTCCATAATCATAAAAATAAAGAGAAGGAGGCTAGGGAGATGGCTGAACTGTTAAGGGCATTTGTGGCTCTTGCAGAGAACTGAAGTTTAATTCCCGGTGCCAATATTGGGTCATTTACAACCACCTGTAACTCTAGTTCCAGGAGATCTGAAACCTTCTTCTGGCCTTTGCAGGCATCTTCGAGTTCACACACCACCACCACCACCAATAATAATAATAATAATAATAATAATAATAATAATAATAATAAATCTTACCACCACCACCAATAATAATAATAAATAATAAATCTTGAAAAAATAAAACAAATAGGGGGAAGGATAATATGAACCTTAGATTCCAACCACAGCATATCAGTGCTGTGTATCCTGTTCCTATTTGGGCTAACACATTGTAAAGACAACCAGGCATACTCCCATCCCTCTTGGAAAGCCTTGGTGTGTACCTCTGTACATTTAGCCAATCCAAAAAGTCAAATCAACTCCAACAAAACAGTCATTTTTTAAATAAAATCAATACCTGTTGTTAATTTTCAGGAATTATCTCAAGAATTTCATTTAGGGTTGTCTGCTTGAGTCAGGAGCCACACAGTATTCATAGGACAGGTGGCTGACTTGTCCCTCAAGGTCTTTTGACTTTTCTTCTTACTCTGATGTTTATTTGTTAAAGAAATTGGGTCATTTGTTCCATTTTTAAATATTTAGTACATTTTGGAAATGTTGTACATGTGTGTATGTGTGGTCAGTTGTCTCCTACCAAGAGGGTGCTAGGGGTTAAACTAAGGTGGTCGGGCTTGGCGGCCAGCCCTCGCCTGCTGAGCCATCTTGTCATACCAAGTCATGCGTGCGAAGTGCATGTGTGGACAGACAGGTCTACTCACCACTGCCTTATCTGTTTTGCAACATGAATTATAACTCTTTTGACCTTTTAAAATTGCAGTTTTGTCTTGATATTTAGGACCTCTATATTCTAGATACAAACTTTTGTCACATATCTCTGCTATAAATATTTTTTAGTCTGTAGCTTATATATTTTCTTAATGTGTTTGTATAAGAAAAATTATTACCTTTTGTATTTTTGAGTCTTGTTATATAGCAACTGCTGGTCTCAAACATCTTCTTTCCTCACTTCTTAAATAGTGAAACCACAGGTGTATTTCACTGCACTCTTAGTTCTCATAAATGTTAAGGATTTTAAAATCTATAATATTGTTGATACATATTTTATAATAATTTTTTTGCAGTTAATTTCTGTCTCCCAGTATGGAAGAACCTACTACCCTGTTTTCCGATGAGGACCTGGTGGACAGCCTCCCTCCCATAGACGATGGTAACAAAGGCCTTTTCCAAAATCAGACAAGTTTCAGCATAGAAGACAGTGTGCTTCTTAATTGCCCTTTATTCCAGGGAAAGTACAGAAAGTGCATCTACTAAATCATTTATTTCTCTCTTGACAGGGAGTTCTGCTCTTGTCTTTAGTTGACAAATAATAAATAATGGCTGAGAATCTGAATGTGGCAATCCATATTATTCTATTTTCCAAGTCACCATTAATAAATTGATGCCATTTTTAATTTTAATCCTTTGAATGTGACCTATTTTTTGTTTTTCTGGAATATTTTAGAATTTCTTTTAAAAATTTCTGATGATCCAAACTTTTCTGAGCTATCCTTGATTTTGTGTCCCTCCTAGCCTACAAACTTGATCCCATGGCCCTGTTTTCTGGGTCTGTGTGGACCCTGTCCCTGCTCCACCCTGTCCCTGCTCCACCCTGTCCCTGACCTTTCTTCCTCTTGGGTTTGTGTGGGCCTCTCACTGGTCTTCCCTCTTCCATCCTCCTTGTGGTGGTAGACTCCAGCCTTTTACACATTCTTTTCAGTAATTTTTACAGATGTATTTTGATGATGCGGAGATAAACCCATAGTTCTGTATGTTTTTTTTTCTTTTTCTTTCTTTCTTTCTTTTTTGTTTTTGTTTTTCGAGACAGGGTTTCTCTGTGTTGTTTTGGTGCCTGTCCTGGATCTCGCTCTGTAGCCCAGGCTGGCCTTGAACTCACAGAGATCTGCCTGGTTCTGCCTCCCAAGTGCTGGGATTAAAGACATGCACCACCACTACTCAGCTTCTGTTTTTTTGAAAGTCTACAGTGATGTTCTCAGAACCATAATTCTAAAATAATAATAATGATTTTTTAAAAAATAGGGATTGTAAAGATGTCTGAATGGTTAAGAGTATTTACTGATGTTGCAGAGGACCCAGGTTCAGTTCTCAGTACCTAGATTCTAGCCGCTCACGTGTGTCTGTAACGCCAATTCCTGAGAACCTAGCGCCATCTTCTGGCCTCTGCAGGCACATGCATGCATGCAAACAAACAAAAAATAGAAAATAAAAAAATTTACATTTATTTGCTTCTGTGTGTGCATGCCATGGTGTGTGGAGGTCAGAAGACAACTTGCCAGAAGTTCTCTCCTTCAACCATGTGGGCCCTGGAGAGTGAACTCAGGCCACATCAGGCTTGGCAAGTAGGTACCTTACCCACTAAGCCATTTAGTTGGCCTTCAGATTTTTTGGGAATCCTTCTACATTTTGTGGGGGGAGATGGGGGTAGTGGTTTCGAGACAGAGTTTCTCTGTGTAGCTTTGGAACCTGTCCTGGAACTCACTCTATAGACCAGGCTGGCCTTGAACTCACAGAGATCCGCCGGATTTTTTATTTTTCTCTTTTAAAAGTATTTTTCTTTGTCCTCTGAAAATATTTTTGTTTTATATTTTGAGACAAGGATGGCCTCCAACTTCCTAGACCTGACATGGAATTCCTGCTTTTCCTCCTTTTTCTTTTCCTGTGCTGGGATTATAGGAATGAGCCACGACACTCTGACTACAGTTTGGCTTTGTGTTGTTTTGTTTTGACTGTCTCCTTGATTTCTAGAAAGAATCCAGTTGGAGGATCCAGAGTTTGAGATGGAACCATTTCTTCTGGGATTTGAGGACACCGTTCGCTTAGGATGCTGCTGGTAATTCCTTGAGTGGCAGCCTTCCTTCTTTTGGAGTGTAGTTCAGTGGCTGTGGAGATGCTGGGTGGAGAGCATCCTCAGGTAGTGCTGAGTGCTGTGGTTTGTGTGTGAAGCAAGTGTTATCTTTTTTTTCCAAGTCCAGCAAAAGAAGAGGAGGTGACTGCCGAGAAAACGAAGAAGGCGACCACCAAAGACAGAGTCCAGGCATTTCACCTTCGGAAAAGCTTGAACCTCCTGGACAAGCTGCATGAGGAGAAGGACCTTTTTATTCAGAAGACTCGGTGAGCTCACGTGCCGAGGACCCACGGCCTAGCCACTCCTTCTGGTTGTAGTGTCCATGTGGGAGGTCCTGCCTTTACTTCCTACGGCAGTCTTTACAAGGAGCAACCTCACAACCCTGAAGAGATGTGGTGCCCAGGGCTCCACCTCCTTTCCCCCTCCTTCAATCTAGACAAGATCCCAGGGAATTAAGGGTGCTCTTAGGTCCTGCCAGGTTCTCCATGACCATCTTGTTTCTGCATGTTTCAGGTGTGACTGAGGCCTTAGTGAATAGCCTCCTACTTCTCAGGGTCCTTCTGGTCTTGGCCTCATTGGCATTTGGTCTGCCAGCATATTCAGCGGAAATACTGAGTGTGTTTCTCCAATATACAGAAAAATTGGAAACTAGTAGTAGGCAGCTGTTTCCTGCATGCCACTACAGATTACCATGTTTAGCTTTTCCCACTGAATATGTATCAATATGTGTGTCATAGCTATGATTCTTTAGCTGAATCATTTGAAAATAAATTTCAGGATCATGATACTACTCCTATTTTAGAGTCTCTGAAAAACAAAAGCATCATTCTGCATGACCTTAGCATGTAACACCACCTGTGGGTATAGGTCTTACCCAATTCCAATGTCATGCACTTCATGCTGCAGCTGTCCTGACATCCTCTGAAAGTCCGTTAGAACTCATGCTTTAGATTTTATTCTGTTATTTCTAGCTGAAGTGAAAGTCACGTAAGAGGAGTGAGCATCTTACCCAGGCTTACACAGGGAACTGCCTTGGTCTGTGTCACAGCGTGCCGATGAGGAGCTGCAGCCATTAGCAGCTGTGTGCTCTTCAGGGCTGCGTGTACACACACTCCGTTAACTGCATTCCTTTGGCTTCCAGGCATATCACCTCTGTGCTCTTCAGGGCTGCGCGTACACACACTGTTAACTGCATTCCCTCGGCTCCCCAGGCATATCACCTTTGGAGGAGTTTACAGAGCTGGCTCCTTGGGCAGGGTTTTCAGGGAACACCCTACTCACGTGACATGATAGCACCAGAGAGACCCCTAGAAAGACAAAGTGTTCCCTGTCCTTGGCCTGCACCTTAGACCTTCCCTCTTCTCTAACCCACTGGCCCCTTCTGAGGCTGGAACTTTAGGAAAACATTATGGCAATTCTTATTTTAACGTTCTAGAGGGGAGCTGCGTGTCTGTCATCAGAGGATGGACCTCCTCACCAAACAGCAGGAGAGCTTGGCAGCTGAGATCGCCACAGAGAGAGAAGCCAACAACATGTAGGTCATCCTTGTGGGCAAGGAGGTCAGACAGCCAAGTGTTACCATGATGGCCAAGATGGTATCATACATAGAGGTTTATTCATTCATTCATTCATTCATTCAACAAAGATAAGTCTTAAGTACCTGCTATGTTCAGATAGTTAAGAGGCAGACAGCATCTCTCCAGGGTGGCAAACAGACATCATAACACAAAGAAGCAATGTCAGTCTAGGAGCTGGCTCAGTTGGTGAAATACTTATTACACAAGAATGAGGACCTGAATTTGATCCCCAGCCCCCATAGCAGTGAGCACACACCTACAATCCCAACACTGAAGGATCTGGAGCTCTTGTTGGCTAGCCAGTTCAGCAGAATCTGAGTTCTAGATTCAGTGACAAAGCCTGTCTCAAAAGCATAAGACAGAGAATGATTGAGGAAGATACTTAAGGTTGGCATCTGACTACATGAATGGCCCTTTCTGTATTCTATTGATATGCTCCAGGGCTGCTATGGGCCGTCTCCAGGCTGCATCCAGACGCCTTCACACAGAGCTGGAGAATGAGAAAGATCTGCAGTCCAAAATCACAGCCATGCTGAAGGACAGCGAGTAAGTTTTTGCAAGAGGGGCTTGGGGATTTAGCTCAGTGATAGAGCGCTTGCCTAGCAAGTGCAAGGCCCTGGGTTCGATCCTCAGCTCAAAAAAAAAAAAAAGAAGAAGAAGTTTTTGCAAAAGCCTGGAAGGTGGGCTTGGTAAGTTAGCATCTGGCTAGTTCACAGGACACAGATCTCGGAGCAGCTTGTGGAACAATTCCTGATTTGAGTATGAAGAATAATTTGCTTTTCACTTTCTAGAGGCTTAGGAAATAAAAAGGTGGCGGCATGTTGACACAGCTGAGAGGAGAGCTCTTCATGTGAAGTTTTTTTTTTTTCAGTTTCCTCAGTTTTATTTATAATTTTAGTAACTGTATAATCAGTTTCTTCCCCTCTTTTTCTTATTTCCTATACCTCTTGGGCTGGGGCTCAGTGGTAGATCATTTGAATGGCATGCATAAAGCCCTAATTTGATCCCTAACATTGGGGGGGGGGGGAATATTCTCTTCTTTTCTAGAAACATCCACAGGGGGTGCAAACTAGAACTGCCTCTAGCAAGTCCACAAAGAAAGGGTTTCTTTTTGGCATATAACAACTCACTGTTAACACCAGCAAGAGCTCTCAACATACACAGTTCAGTGAATCACTGGGCTACTGCCCAGCTCTGGGTCCAGAGCAAGGCTCTGCTGTTATATGACAGCAAATGAAGTTGGAAAGCTTTCCAGACTGAAGACACACAGAGGACTAGAACATTGTCAGAAACCCTGACTGTAAGTGTAACAGCTGCTGACTCTTGGCTACATACCACAGTCAGACCAAACTTCTTCCCTCTCCCACAGTGGACTCCTGAGCCTTAAGCCAGTCCCTGACTTGCACCTACTATAATTGCTACAATTCAAGCCACACACACAAGACTGAACACACACATAAAATGTGGAGAGATGTGCAGCTGGGAACAAGTCAGTCCATCTATGACTGAGAAAGTCAATATTTATACTGTTCTTGATCGACACTTGGCTAGCTAGTGTCTGTGGTTCCAAAACCACGGCAGGCAAGACCCTTGGAGGCTCCACCTGTACTGAGCTGCTATAAGCATCTGTTTACTTCTTAAATTGTTTTTCACTTTAAAACAATGTCAAACTTATAGAGGTAATTCAAAAATGGCTATGTTATGGCATCTTCTCCTATCTCCAATGCCAACAATGTCCCTTTTCTTTAAACCACAGTGGTGATTCAAATGAAGGTCTCTGGTGGCATTCCTATCTATTTATGTGGTATCTGAGGTCTGGGACCACTGCCCCAAAGTCTTTTTTTTTTTTTTTGAGCTGAGGTCCAAACCCAAGGCCTTGCACTTGCAAGGCAAGAGCTCTACCACTGAGCTAAATCCCCAACCCAACTGAGCCCACCTTTGCTCCCTGACAAGCTTGGCTACCTGGCCTCTGCCTCTCAGGACTCCATCAATACAGAGCCCATTTCTAAAGGCAATGTTTCTCACCTGTCTCCCTAACACATGTCACAGGACCATAATGTGTAGCTGGAGTTTTCTCTCCAGGTTCCACCAAACCCCGGCAGTCCCTTATCCCACTTATAAAATAAACATACAGATGCTTATATTATTTAAACTGCTTGGCCATTAGCTCAGGCCTATCATTGTCTAGCTCTTACTCTTATATTTATTAATCTATACTTTGCCACATGGCTCGTGGCTTACTGGTACCTTACATCTTCCTTGTCCTGGCGGCGGCTCCAGCAGTCTCCCCCTCTGCCTTCCTGTTCTCTCAATTCTCCTCTCTGTTAGTCCCGCCTATACTTCCTGTCTGGCTACTGGCCAATCAGTGTTTATTTATACAGAGTGATATCCACAGCAATAATGGCTTTGAATGTTATTGGAGCTATAATGAAAGGAGTGTTCCCTACTCAAGACAAAATTTCTATAGCATGTTCTCTCCAGATATGTGGTCCCTTTCTTCCACCCAACAATGAGGGACTTCTAGTATTTCAACTCTTAGTCCAGATTTCCTGTAACTGCCATGGAATTGATTGAAGAGAAAGATTGGACTCAACTCTATAGTCATGATTTGTTAAAAAATATTCTAACAAAATAAGAATGGAAGGAAATTTTCTTAATTCAAGTTAGCACATTTATTAAAAACCTAGAGCTATAGAGGACAGATTTGAGATATTTGCCTTGGTGTCCAATATGCCAAGTTTCAGCTGAAATACTTCTTCCCAATGTTGTATCTTCTGTCATGCACCTTCTGTCATTAGTTCTGGTCTGGCAGGGTCCTCTGGGCAGAACTTCTAGCAAAGCCATCCTCCAGGCAGAGCAAGGCCCCAGGAGATGCTCTTATGTAGCTATGCTCAGAATTCTGTAGCATATGTCTAGATGTGTCAGCCGTGATGGCCAGAAACCATACTTGACTCACTGCAGAGGTGCATGGATGCATGGGTTCCCAAATCCTGGGAAAGACAGTTCCGTATTTGCCTTCCTGCTACTCATCCCAAACAAAGATGAGCTGCAAACCTCCTAGACTTGTGCTGGGAACCTGAGGAGTGCTGTGTACATTGTAGCCACCACAGATGTAATACTTACTGACAGTTGATGACAGAGTCAGACAGATCCTTCATTATCCAGATACACCCTGGGCAGGGGTGGCTGCTACCATTCTCTGAGCCTCTTCCCACGCATGTTTGAAGACTTGGGGTGGTTCTTGGTAGTTCCAATGACCTCCTCAGAAGACATTTTCTAGATGTTTTCTTCAGGCCAGGCAAGGGAGTCACTACAGTGAACTGACCCACTCACTCAGGTAAGTGCCTGTGGCCAGATGCTAACTCAGGCTAGATTTGATGTGATGGCAATTTTCCTAAGTTTGGAGACCAGGAGTGGGACCTCAGTCTCCAGACCAAGGGGAAGCCTTAGAGAAGGGTGCTGACTCCTCATCAGTAGTGTCTAATATCTGCCTAGAGTATTTGTCAAAATAAAGTACCAGGATTGCCCCAGATCCCCAGACAGATGCTTCACAGAGGAGTGACACCAGGTCTTCAAACCCTTAGCCCCCACAAACAACAAATGGTTTATTTTTGCAAGGAATGCCATGTGGCACATTGAGATCCAGAAGGGCCTATTTGAGGATGTCCGGAAGCGTAATGAAGAAGAAGCAGAAGCTAGGCAGCGGTCCCTTGAGATACACGCAGCCCAACAGCTTCAAAAGGAGAAAGAAACCTTGGAGAAGGTGGAGAGGAACCGTCTGCTGAGGGCCCGGTAAGTGCCACTCAGACCTGGCCTTTGCCAGTTCCTTCATGTTCCACATCAAGTCTTTGTAGATCCAGCTCTTGCATCTGTGCCATGGGTCCTGCCTAGCTCCCTACTCTATATTAAGTGCCTACAGCAACCACTGACCTGCACCAATGAGACCATCAGACCCTTCCTTCTGCATATTCCTTTATCCCTTCCCAGATGTGCTGTTCTCTGGTCCTGTCACACATCTGGATACTTCTTTGTCCACACAAGCCTTGGAGTGCTCAAGCTCAGTTCCTATACATTCTCTGAGGCAGTTCCTATCTGCTCAACCACCGATCCCCAGAAGCTAGGGGGCTGCTGGAATCTGCTCCAAGATGGAGCAAGTCCCTCTTATCTCTTTATATCATCAACTTTGCTGGTCTCTTCTCCTGCTAGACTCCTACCCAGCCTGGGTCAGACCCTGTGTTTGGTGACTTCTTCATAGCAGAGCCCCTGCAGCACTTTGTCTAATAGTTGTGGCCCACAGGTGTGTCATGGCACACTTGTTACAGTCTCCGCCTGTGTCGCTGCAGGAAGTCCTTGCATGTGCAGAAGGAGCTGGGGCTGAGACATCAGAAACTGGTGGAAGATGCCCAGAGAAACCACAGGGTGGCTGTGAAGTTCCTGAAGGCCTCTCTGGGAAGGTGGGTCCTCACTTTAACTCTTTCTTCTGTCAATGCTCTTGAGGAATCTAGAAATGTGGGTTCCTGGCCTTCACTTTGAAATTCCCTAAGTAAGTCATTACCTAATCATTAGAAATAGATCTGAAGTTTTATTTTAAGTTACTATTTTTATTTTCGAGAGGAGCATGAGACACAATGAGGCCCTAGGGTCTAGAGAACACCCCCAACCACCTGTCCCACAGGAATAGGCCCTGGACAGCAAGGCTTATCCATTTGACCTTTGTGTTGTCAGCGTTCATTGTTTCTCCAGTAAAAGTAACCAGCACCTAAGACTCCTAGAACTCTATAATTGTCAGCATTACCTGCATACATCCCTAAAAATTCACATTACACCAGGCACAGTGGCGCACACCTTTAATCCCAGCACTCGGAAGGCAGAGGCAGGCTGATGTCTGAGGCCAGCCTGGTCTACATAGTGTGTTCCAGGACAGCCAGGGCTACATAGAGAGACCCTGTCTCAAAACAAACAAACAAAAGCAAAATAAATAAATGAACCAAGTGCACATTACTCCAGAGTTCGGGAGCGAGAGCAGAAGGAGGAGATGGAGTCCCGCAGGCACATGAAACGGCGCATGGATGCTGTGCTGGCACTGAAGAACAACATCACTGCCAGTCGGGTAGGTGTGGCTCCGCCTCTCTGACACAGCTAACCAACTGACCACCCAGCCCCTCTCTCAATAACTTAACACTGTTGTGAGAGAGCCTCATCTCAGTGGAAGAATAGTGAGGGACCCAGGGCAGTGTGAGGGCCAACACTAGGGCTCAGGTCTGGGTAGGTAGGCATGTGGTAGGGAAGAGTAGGCCTCAACATCGGAAGACTCAGAGGCAAGGGAACCAACAGTGGGTGGCCAACATGCACACAGATGCACAGAATGCCATACTCAAGGGACCCAGAGCTGTGCTGGCTGAAGGATGCATGGGAAAATTATGAATGTTTGCAAATTGCCTACCTTGGACCCACAGTTTCAGCATTGATTTAAATAGATCCATTCAAGGAAAAGGTCTGAATATGAACGTACGTGTGTGTGTGTGTGTGTGTGTGTGTGTGTGTGTGTGTGTGTGTACATGGGCATATGCTGGTATTGTGACTTTAGAATTCCATATTTCCAGGAAACACTAAAGAAGTTCCAAGCATGGGGCCAAAGCAGGGCAGAGGTGGCTAAGCAGAAGGCCCTTACAGAGAAGGAAGCGATCCTGGCCCAAGGTGGAGATGCATTCAAGCACCTTTTTCATCAGCGCAGGCACCAGGAACTGGAAGCCCAGAGGCGGTGAGAGCTGGGAGACATTTACCTGGGAAGTGGGCACAGAGAGAACCAAAAGGCTTGACCTTCATCCCCTAAAAGTAACAAAGCTAATTCCTGCCCAGACTTTTCACCAAAAGCAGTTGTGGGTTGTGGGATGAGGACTGCAGCACTCCCCTCTCCAACGTGGGCTGCAGAAGTCTCCAGGGGGGCTCTGGCATTTGGGGGCTTTTTATAGAGGTTCTTAGTGGGTGAGGACACCTCTTTCCTCATTTCCTCTCTTGACTTCCTGGTCCTTCAGCTGTGAGGTTCCTGAGCTTCTGTGGCTCCCTCCTCCTTGGGGGATGCCTGGGGCTCATTCACATAAGGCCCTTCAGCTTCACTCTCTGGCCTCTTCCAGGCCATTAGTCAGGGCTTTCTCCCACAGAGTTTTCAAAGAAGCCACTTCATATTGGCCTTTTCCAGCTCACACACATTACTTAGCTAATTTCTACTTAACCTAGCTGCTAGGTGTCTCTGCCTAAAGCTGTCCTCATTCCAAAGGGCCAAGCCCCTTCTCCCAAATCCCTGATCCCTGCTGGTCACTGGATCTGCTTGGGTATTGTCTGTTGGCTTTCTTGCTATGGGACATCCTCCTCTTCAAATTGTCTCACTAATGTGAGAGAGAGAGAGAGAGAGAGAGAGAGAGAGAGAGAGAGAGAGAGAGAGAGAGAAGAGAGAGCCCTACAGTTGCCAACAGAATTTTGGTGTTTCCTGTCAGTCTGCCGACATGTGATGTGGTTATAGATCTGTTGCCTGGGTGGTGCCTAGCAAGGGATGGCTATAATGATTCTGAGAATGAGTGAGTGAGATGTCACCAAGCCCTAATATTGCCCTTGCTTTTTGTCTCAATTGGGTCTTCTCAGCCACAAGCCTAGAAACTAGGGTGGGGAAGCTCATGAGGGCCAGGGTTTGTTGTGGGGACTTCTAGACTGGGCTGAATGAGACAATTCAAAATTAAACAGGTCAAATGTAGAGCTGGACAGGGCAAGGCAAGGTATGGTAAGGTGAGGATCCAAGTCACATCTCCATTAGTAGCCCTTATGAGCTTTATCTGCTATACTCTCCGTCCAAGACAGGATGTCCTAACACCACAGCCCTCCTAGGCCGGACCTGAGCACTTGGGAAGGAACCAGAGAGCTAAAAGGACCACCATACCTAACCCCCACTAGGTGCCCTGCTTGCAGGTGCTGGGGAAGGGCACCTGGCTCTTACTGAGAAGCACATCCCATAGGGCTTTTGAAGAGGAGCAGAAACTCCGGAAGCAGGAGATTGTAAGTCGAATCTTGAAAGAGGAAGCTGAGGAAGAACATAGGAAAAAGAGACAGCATCCACCCTCTAAAACCACAGACCAGTGGACTCTGAGAGACAAGACCTGGAAGTATATCTCTGACTTTTGTGAAGGGAAGACTGCCATAACCACAAATCACCTGCTGGTGAGTAGAATGTTGCTGTTTTCAAGTTTAGGTCAGGCACTTGAAAGTGCAGGTGGGAAGGGCCAAGGACCCAAGTGTGAAGAAGCTGGCTAAGATCCCCAAGGCCATGGCCCTGTGATGCCCACTAGGGTCCTTTTCTCCCTTATCCAAACTCCTCATATTAGCCAACGGTGCTATCAGAGCCTACAAAGCTGCCTATGAGATAGGAGGAAGTTCCTCATCTGTCCCTTCCTACAAAGTGTAGTGAGCCTCATGTGAAGAGACTTGTATAGCTAGAGTCCGTACATGTTATCACTCACTGCCAAGTATTCCCAGTGTCTCCCTGAAGGCTGAGTATTCCTCTCACTCACACCAAGGTCTTGGTCTAAGCCAGTGGCCTGTATAGACAATACCCTAAGCTGGAGAGATTTGTTTCCAACTTACCCCTCCTTAAAGGTGTAAGAACATTGGATGTTCCTTAACCCAACACCCTGCATCCTACATCAGCTGCTTTCTTGGGCTACCTGGGCTTTGGCCTCTGGAGCATTTACCTGTGCCTTTTAGTGCACCATAGGCTTTTTCCTGTTTCTCACCTCCGTGTACTAGGTGGGACCTCTTCCTTTCAGCCGCTTCTCACTTTGGTGCACCTGTCCTCCCCTGGGGGCACATTCTACATACTCCTGCATTCTCCCTCTGAGAAGTCTTCCCTGCCACCCTGAGTCACTTTCCTAATGCTCCTGTACCACAGCCTTAATTTGCTCTACTGGGAACAAATCCTAGGGTTTACATGATCATCCTCTTTCCTCCAGGAAGAAGGAAGGGCCCTGGTTTCCCATGGTGTACACTACAAACATCGTACAGCACAACCAGATGAGTCCTGAACCCCAAAACAGTTCCAACAGAACCAGTACAGCTATATTTTCTGAGTTTTTGCAAGACTTCTCCAGGGCTAGTGTGCCATCCATCATGAAAATTCAACACAATGAATATCACTGATGGAATGGTAGAGAAAATTATAACATGTCTACTAATCAGAACATTTTCCTATGAACAAGACCTTCTTGTGAACTCTGCTGAACACTTACAGGAAGGCATTCAGTAATCCATAGACATGTGTATGGTGTATTTTAGAGTTACAAGGATTTATGTGTATACAATTGTCTCTGTAAAGAACAAAATAATTCCTTTAATCCCAGCACTGGGGAGGCAGAGGTAGGCAGATCTCTGTGAGTTCAAGTCCAGCCTGGTCTACAGAGTAAGTTCCAGGACAGCCAGGGCTACATAGAAAGACCATGTCTCAAAAAGGAGAAGAGAAAGAAGGAGGGGGAGGAGGGAGGAGGAGGACGACGACGGCGACACCGATGGCGGCAACGGCGACACGGTGGGTTGTCAGGCCAAGTACCCAGTAGGGTTCCCAGGGGTTTTGTTTTCTTCCTACTCACCTGTATATTCTCCATTCTGTAATGAGCATATCTTACTGCGTCACTCTTCTGCTGGCAGGAAAATGAGATGGCATTACACCCCAAGCCTTCCTGTCTATTGAAAGTCATATCCAGTGAGTCCATGCAGATGGACCTGGGAAGCATTAGTACTGAGGAGGAGATACTGGCTGAACCAGATATCCCCGGGCTTTGGAGCAAGGACTACAAGTCATACCAGGTAACAGCTTTCCTCTGTCAGGTCCTTCACACTGAGGTTCCAGGTTCCCGGGTGCAGTTGCCCACCTTCTGCTCCATTCTGTGCCTGCCACTGCTTCCTTCAAACTCTAGGTCCTCCTCTCCTTTCCATTATCTTAAAAAGAACTGGCCTGTAGCCAGCCTTCCCTTGCTCTGCCAGGTTTGGCCCTGCCCTTTGTTCATTATTAGGCTTTGAACAAGCATTGACCTGTCTTTTTTAACCCAAGGTGTCCAAGGAGGACATGGAACGGAAGCCTGTGGGTGGAACTAAGATGGATAAGGACATCCTGGCCCGCACTATGGAGCAGCTGCGCAGTGGGGTGGTCCACAGGCAGGTAGTGTCTGGGCGGGAGTTCAAAGGCCGCCCTTTCAACAGCAAGCCAGAGGTCATTCACTTCAAGGTGAGCCATGATCAAGCAAAGAAGCCTTTCAGCTACTCTCACCTCTGATGCGTTCTGTTTTGACCTTGGGAAACCCAGAGATGTCTTCAGCTTTGAGGCTGGTGTGCAAGGGCTGAACTGACAGCCTACGGAGCAGGAAGCACCTGGCACTCCTTTAAAGGGGCCTGGACTCCTGTGAAGGAATATAACAGGATAATCACTTGTTAGGCCCCTTCTGCTTGGCAAATTCCCCCTTCTCATGATGGGGCCCCAAAGGACCCCAGCATCTACCACCAGCTGGGGTGTCAGCATTTACAGAAGGACAGGCTAAGATATCTATCCTGTGCTTCTGTCCCTTCTCCCACCCAACCAATCCCCCACAAATCTCATTTCCTGCTGAGAAGGAAGTTTTTCACTACCTTTCACATACCTCAAGAAGGCATCACAACTCAAGGGAAACCTGGGGAATCCTTTTCTACCCCAGGATCCTTAACCTCTCATGAGTCAGTACCAGGGAAACCCCTCTTCCCCTGACCTGGAGGGCTTGGGGTCATCATGTCTCCTCTATCTCTGCAGGACTTTGATATTGGCAAAGTGTACAAGAAGAAGATCACGTTGATAAATGCTACCTACACAATCAACTACTGTAAGCTGGTGGGTGTGGAGGAGAGCCTGAAGGACTTCATCCACATTGAGTGAGTCTCGCAGAATCTAGGCATGAGGCCATGGGCCAACTTGCCTTGAAGAGTTGGAGAGGTTACTGCTCCATCTCTTAATACTGAAGTCATGAAGACCCATCCAGTCCCTCTGAACACATGACCAAGCTTTTGGACAGGCTGCCTGAGTCTCCTCACATTCCCTGTGTGTTGGTTGTGGCATGTCGTGGTCCCTTTGGCAGCTGGAATGCTTTCTCACTGTGAAGATTTCAAGACTGCTTTCCTGAACTATAATTTATTTCTCTCTTTGTGCTAGTGTTTCATTTTTTCTTCTTTTTCTAGGAATCTTCTTGTGTATATATTGTCACTTCTGTACCGGCGTTTTAAGTATTTTTCTGTGGTTACCTTTGATGCTTGCTGCTTCTCCTTTCCCATCCTACACCCTCCATTTTTCACTTTGCAATGTTTCAGCAGCACTTGGTTTTGTTTCTTAGCATCTGACCTTCTTTTCCATTTTTTTTTTCCTTTTTGTTGTTTTTGAAACAAAGTCTTGCTCTGCATCCTAGGCTGACCTTGAACTCATCATATAGTCCAGGCTGGTCTCAAACCTTCGATCTTCTTGCCTCTGTTCCCAAATAGCTGACACTACAGGTATGTTTCACTGTATCCAGCTTATAGGCAGGGCTGTTCATAGCTCAAATCACCTACATCTGTTAGTGTGTGATATGCAATTTCTAAAACGGGGGCTTAATATAAATTGATCCCTGACTCCTCTGCTCAGGCTCTAGCGGTCCCTTTCTTTTCCCCTGAAGGGTGTCTTCGTGAGACTGTTCCTGTGGGACTGTGTTCCTGCACAGTTTCTCCATGAACAGCACTGGCTGACAGAGCCCTGATCAGTACTTCCCACCTAAGAGGTGCCGTCCTCTTGGGAACTGACTGCAAGTGGACAGCAGGAGCTTTTGGTCCTCTGCTCCTTCTTCCTGGCAATTTGCAGAATCTCCTAGCTGTCTGCAAAGTCTTGCATGGAGGAAGTATTGCTAAAAATTATTTATTTACCCACTGTATTAGTTTGAGATCTGAGAGCTTCTCTGTCTTTTAACCATGCTGAGTCACTTGCTTCTGTAGACCTGTAGGGTTTTTTTCAGAGTATATGGAGGACCCAGGTTAGCTGGTGATCACCATTACCTCAGCTATCACAAAGCCCTCCTTCCTAGGCATGGATTAAAGATTCTCCCCACACTTGAAGGCTAGCATCCACTTCTGTCTTCTGATTTCTTTTGCTGTGGTAGTTGTGACTCTCTAGCATGTTCCTCAGTTTCCTCTGGCTGCACTGAGATCCCTGGCCTCCGGTGTCCCTCAGCCCTACTGCAGCATACCTGAGATGCTTGGTCTTCTTTAGACTCATGGTAGTTCTTAGAGCTGAGGTTTGTATCTTTGAGCAGTTCTAGAAATGTCTCATCCTTAGCCTGCAAATATCAGCTCTCCCTATTCAGCCCTCCTCATGACTTTGTCTCTGCCCTATTCCTCCTGTGTGGAACCATCCAAGCCTCCCTGTCCTTATGGCACCTGCTTCACATTCTCTGCCTATTCAGGCAGTGTGTGAGGTGCCCCGGCTTCTGGTCTCTTCAGCTGTATCTAGCTGGCTGCAAAAGCTGCTGACTATGTGTCTTGTTTCAGTACTATGTTTCTCATTTCTAAAAATTCCTAGTTCTTTTTCAGATGAGGTAGCATTTCTCTCTCTCTCTCTCTCTCTCTCTCTCTCTCTCTCTCTCTCTCTCTCTCTCTCTCTCTCTCCAGGATTTCCTGATTTCCTGTTTCTTTGTGTAGCCCTGGCTGTACAGGATTTCTTGTTTCTTTGTGTAGCCCTGGCTGTCCTGGAACTCACCCTGTAGACCAAGCTGGCCTTGAACTCACAGATCTGCCTGCCTCTGCCTCCCAAATGCTGGGATTAAATGCATGCACCACCACTGCCCAGCTGTAGTTTTTAAGATTTCTAAACTTGTTGTTTCTTTTGGTTGTGTGTGTGTCCTTTTTCTTAACAGTGTCTTTTTCTTTCTTCCTGCCCATAACTCTGTATCTTTATGACTTTACTATTTTACCACATGCCTTTTAGAGGCTCCACTCCATCATACGAGTTTCAGTAGTTTGTTGTGTGAAGTTCCTAGAGTTAGGGCCTGCTTCTCACTGAGTTGGTTCATGAACACCCGACATGTGCATAGCCTTAGGTTCTGATCCTCTTACCATTAGTCTCTAGGGAGAGAGACCCCCAGAATATTCCTGTCTGTGCTGCCCCAGTGCTGTCATTACAAGCACATGTTACCACGCCTGACTCTTCTTGAGTTCTGGGGATTGAACCCTGGTCCTCATGCCTACATTACAAGCAGTTTATTGACTGAAATAAACTGCACCCAGCACCCAGAGACACATCTTCATATTAAGTTTTTGTGTACTTTCAAACCAAGAAAATTATGTAAAATCCAACATTGTAAACCTAGGCCTGATACTAGGAATTCTGTAGGAAGACCCTTTCACTCACCCAGGATTCAGATCAAGACAGACTAGCTCCCATCTCATTTTCCTGCAGCTGGGGCTGTTTCACAGGATGGCTTGACTTATAGCCCTTCCCCTTATGTTGTTATTAGAACTCAACATCCTTGATCCAAGACCTAGCAATTATCCCCAGGGTAATGACGTCCCACAGCACCCATCTTTTTGGAGTTGGCTTTTGGGGATGTACCTCACTCAGTGTGCTGGCTCACTCACTGGACAGACATTTGAAGGTTATCCAAGTGTCTCCTCTTCATCAGGAAATGGAGTCAGTAAGGAGCACAGCAGCCTGGAGCTGCTCATGTGCCAACACATCTAAGTAGAGGTATTGTCTTAGCTAGGGCCACTATTGCTAGTGGAAAACACAGTGACCAAAAGCAACTTGAGGAGGAAAGGGGGGTTAATTTGGCTCACACTTCCACATCATAGTCCATCACTGAAGGAAGTCAGAACAGGGACTCAAACAGGACAGGAACCCGAAGGCACAAGCTAATGCAGAGGCCATGGAGGGGTACTGCTTTACTGGCACCCTCCCACATCATCACTAATTAATAAAATACTGTACAGGCTTGCCTATAGACACATCTTATGCAGGCATTTTCTCAACTGAGGTTCCTGTCTCTGAGATGACTCTAGCCTGTGTTAAGTGGACACAAACGCCAGCACAGGTGTGGAACAGGAAGATAAGGGGATCTAAAAGGCCCAGCTGAGTATGTAGTGAGCACCCACTTTGCACAGCGACTTAACTACCCATGTGCTGTTCTGCAGCTTTGACCCCACTGGTCCCATGTCAGCCGGGATGTCCTGTGAAGTGCTCGTCACCTTCAAGCCTATGGTACGTCAAAGGATCACATAGCGGTGCTATTTTTTCTGGCTTAACAACAACAACAATAAAATCCAGCATCATTCTATAATGCTAGCATAATAAAGCTTGCCAGAAGGTTTGGTTTTATTCTCTTATATGACTAACTATCTGTGGGCTGTGAAGTGTGTTTCTTCAGGACCTGTTTATGTGGGACACTTTGGGATTCTCCCGCTGGAAGCCCACTAAGCAAGTAGTAAGCAGGTCCAGGCCATAGTTATACAGATGCAGCCTCTAACTGTGTCATCATAGAAATTTATGGTGACTGGGATTGTTTTGTTTTTTAGATAAATAAAGATCTGGAAGGAAATGTTTCATTTTTGGCTCAGACGGGCGGCTTTTCTGTTCCACTGAAATGTTCAACAAAAAAATGTTCTGTAAGTTTAAGTCCCTGGAAACTCTCTCCATGGTACGGGCTGCACCCTTGGAGTACCAAGGGCATGGGCTAGAGCTCCACCATAGACCTTGATCCTAGTCAGACTCCAACATGGGCCGAGTCTGGGTGACATGAGATATCCTGAAAAGGTGAGTCATCAGACCAGAGCTAGAAATTTCTAGATAAACCCTGCTCTGTATGGAGTCCCTGACTGAGAGGCCCAGAGTTCAGAGGGAAGGAGATCTGTCTGAGATGCCAGTCCTTTCTTTAACTCTTAGTTGTGTCCTCAGATAAATAAGTAAATGTGTGTGTGTGTGTGTGTGTGTGTGTGTGTGTGTGTGTGTGTGTGTGTGTGTGTTTCAAGACAGGGTCTCATTATGTAGCTCTGGCTGCCATTGAACTAACTCTATAGACCAGAGTTTGTTAGCCTCAAACTCAGAGAAATGCACCTGCCTCTGCCTCCTGAGTGCTGAGATTAAAGGTATACACCACTACACCCAGCTTTCAGATAATTTTTAAAATATTTATTTATTTATTTATTTATTTATTTATTTATTTATTTATTCATTGTATATGAGTGCTCTATCTGCATGAACAACTTTATGTCAGAAGAGGACATCAAATCCCACTATAGATGGTTATAAGCCACCATGTAGTTGCTGGGAGTAGAACTCAGGACCTCTAGAAGAGCAGCCAGTGCTCTTAACCACCGAGCCATCTCTCAAGCCCCAGATATTTTTATTGTGAGTAAATTTGCAAACATAATGAAACACAGAATCATGTAGTGAATTTCCATATACCCACTATCTACCACTTCAGAGCAAATTACCAATATCAGACTCAACTTAAAAAATGTTGGCATTTCTAATAAACACCCACTATATCATTGTTTCTTTCCACAGTGACACTCACGGCCCACAAACTCAGTACTGTGACAGACTGCAGTGTGTCTTAGTCCTACATATGCTTCTAAGGCTGCAGGTCCACTGTGAGCTGACTGACGGGGGCCGGCCAGGCAGCTCTGCTCCGGACGTCTCACCATGGCCTTCTAAACCTTGTAGCCTCTATAGCAGTGTCCATCTAGCATGAACTTCTCATGGAAAATGACTGGAAATGCAGACATCCAAGCCAGAAAATTTCTTCCTTCACTTATTTCACATTTCCCATTGATTTATTGGCCAAACCAAGGCCCACGTACAAGTTCAAAATCAGTGGGGCAGAGAGAGACCTTTTCCAGTGTGATAGGTAGGACAAAGAGAGAATGGAGAATTGAGGTAATAGTATATATGTTACACCAACAAACTAGCAGAATTCCTGGTTATCACCTAATGCTCAATTCATATCAAATGTGTCCCACTGTCTCCAAACTACCTTTTCATACAGCTGCTATTGTTTTTATGTAATGGAGATTGCATCTGATTATTATATTGGTGAGTATGTTTTGACGTAGAATAGCAGCTCCCTTTCCACTTTTGGGTCATGAAACTTACTAAGCCAATTCTTTTATAAAAGAACATCTGGATTTGTATGACTGCTCCCTAATATTGCATTTACTATGTCTCTCTGTCCCTGTGTTCTTTTAAATTAGATATAGCTTAAATTAGACTTAGGAATGATTTTCATTTTGAGGAAAGAAGGATTTATTCTGGCTCTTGTCTGGGGATCTGGTCCCTCAGGTTGGGGCAGTCATGGCTGCAGGAGACTGAGGCAGTTGATCACATTGTATCCTTAGTCAGGAAGCAGAGAGTGATGATATTAGCTAAGGTCCCTTTGTCCTTTGCAAGAAGATAGCATTGCTTAAGAGTACTTGTTGTTGGAGAGATGGCTCAGAGGTTAGGAGCACTGACTGTTCTTCCAGTGGTCCTGAATTCAATTCCCAGCAACCACATGGTGGCTCACAACCATCCGTAATGAGATCTGGTGCCCTCTTCTGGCCTACAGGCAGAACACTCACTGTAT